ATGTATACATTTATTTGTAATTTTAAAAGATGTTTCTGTGTAACCAGGTTTGGGGCTTGACTCAATTATTTTGTTTATTTTTTTAAAGAAAAAACAACTGTAAACATGCCTGATGAGTACATCTGGAAAGGATTTTAAAAAGTGGGACATTTTCTGGTCCACATGATTTATTTTAGAATTCCAAAGTTACTAATTACCTGGGGAAACGGCTTCCAAAACGTCTCTCTTCTGGTCTGAACAAGAAATGTTATAAACGTTCCCTTCGCCTGTCTGTCCCCCCCCACACACACACACACCCTGTCCCCCCCTTGATTGTTTGGGTTCTTTACACCAGCCAAAATCCAGTTAGCTCTCTTAAAGGCTTCAGTAATATGCTGAATTACTCCCTGCTTGAGTTTAATGGAGTTAAATGAGCCTGAATGATGGCAACAGTTTTAGCTGTCTAGCACGTGGCTTATTAAAGAAGGTAATTGCATTTGAAAAGGAAAGACATTTCCTGGATCCGCAGGAACAAAGTCGAAGAGCTTCTCCCCTGAAGCTGGAACCTACCTAGCTTTTTGGAGTCCTGTGGAACCCTGTAGATCAACATCCCCCCTCAAAAAAAAAATGGAATTGGCCTTAGGAGAACTGATTGACATTGCTGGGAAAAGTAGACCCCCCACTTTAAATTGATCAAATGAAATTTTTAGAGAATGGACATGCAAGAACGCCTTTTTCTTTTTAGAGGGACAGATCCAGTGACAACCGGAGAGTTTGTCCAGAGAAAAAAGTTTTGTTTTCCTTCTGTTGGCTTGAAGCTGACATATGCAAGAATGGCTTTAGGAGTGAACGCTAAAAACAAAAACAAACCTCTGAACTAATTCATTCCCAGCAATGAATTAACTCTGATCTAACATACGCTCATGTATTGATCTAGATTTTTTAAAATCTTTTCATGTTCACTATTTCTGTGCTAAATTGGGGGGCAGGGCGGAAATGTTTATATTTTAGGCTTTCTAACAATTTGTCATCTTTTACAAACTACCTTAAATATATCCCCATGGCAATCAGTCTCCTTAACTGATCTGGAGAAATTGATCCACTAAAAATCAAGAAACCACATTCCCTGGCAATTAGAAAAAAGCAAATAAAACCGTAGTCCATAAAATATGCAGGTGCGCGTGGCTGTAAAGATACTTATAGGCGCATGCATCTATTTATTCTCCAACTCCTTTGATTAAGAGTAAAGGTCATAAATGGATTGATTTTTTTTCCCCTCCTCTAGAAAGGCTTAGGCATTAACCAATATAAGTTTGTGCTCTTCTTTGTATGCTTTTAAGGGAGAAATGAAGCTGTACAGCCTATTATTATTATTAATTATTAACTATTTATTATTATTATTATTATTATTATTATTATTATTATTATTATTATTATTATTATTATTATTATTTATTCCGAGTATATCTTCCAACTAAGCTGCATCAGAGTGAAGGCTGAACCCCAAGACTCACCTTTTTAGTTCCTTAATTTTTGTCAAAAGAGGGAAGGTAAAAAGCTAAGGTGAATGGGGGAAAGTGTGAATGGTCAGAATCAAGTCATCAGGCTGCCTGGCCTGTTTTTCTTGGTGGCTCCATCTAGAAATGTTGGGCATTTTGAAAGAATTGAGTTTCATCATCAGCACAGACTGGGCTATCTTTAAAGAGCAATCCTCTTTTTCACTTGCTACCTTTCAAACGTGCTGGATCATCAAGTCTCATTTTTCTTAGCTGGCTGGAGATTAGGGTTGTTGGGAGTCTAGAGGACATTTGATGGAGAAGAACTGAAGTGGGTAACACTTTTGCAACATCTAACTTGCCAATATTTTGCAAAGCAGATTTAAAAAAAAATCTATGAGAAATAAAACCATGCCATTTATTTTTCAAGGTCCCAGCCAGGTTGATACTATCCTTGAGACCCAGGGGCCTTGAATTTAAACATATTCACTCTAAAATGTATTATAGGATGCGATCTAAGACCACATCCAGTCGAAAAGGCCTGATTAAATAACCCTTTGCTCAAAAGGAAGCCAAATCGGTCCGTTACAATTTCTGAATCTTGCAATTAACTTTTGAGAAAGCCTCCCACAAAGTTAGTCTCAGAGATGCGGCTGTTCTAAGTATTTCTCGAAAGAAAGCAGGTTGCGGCCCATTCCCCGTTGCCTCGGAAGGGGGTTCGACAGCGTCCCGAGAAACACCCCCCCCCCTCCCCCTAAAAATAAGTTGAATACTGGTTCCCTTCTTTCCACTGGAAGTCGATCGCCGCTGGAGTGAGAGAAGAGTCTTGATGCAGACGAGACGTCTCTTCCAAATCCATTCCCGATCCTGAAGTCTCTTTGCTCCGAGGCTCAGCCCCATCCCTCGTGTCGCGTCGGATCGAAGAGCTTCCGGGTCTTTTCCTAACTGATTGGGGGAGGGAGGGAGGGAGGGAGGGTCGGTCGGTCGATGGGAGAGCAACAAGGCATTGTTGAACGAAAGCCCGCGACTTGACGGGAGTGGGGCCGATCAAAACGAGGCGCGATCTCCAGCTGAGATCTCCTGTTCCTCGATCGTGCAGGATCACACGCAGCCCGGCAAAGATGGGAGAGGTCGGGAGAAAAGGGAGCACGTATTGGAGAGCCCATTGTCACTACGGTTGCCAAGCCAGTCAAAGTAAAAATAGGCAGAAAAAGAGAGGTGGGGGAGCGAGGAGAGGGAGAAAACCGGCGCTCTTTCTCCTTTGGTTTTCTGTCTTTATTTCTTTCCCTCTTGCTTGCGTGTCCTGCGTGAATTTCTCTTGGGGTCAAACTTTTGCTGAACGTTTAACAGGGCTTGCGTTTGAGTAAACGCAGATGAGGGATTGTGCTGCCGAACTGGGGAGATCTAATGTAAAATAGATGGCTCTGTGGACCCTCGCCATTCTTCCTTTCCCCAAAATTTCCCCCCTAAACCTGAGGACAACCGGAGAAGAGCGGTTGGATCCAAGCCCCACAAAATAAGAACCTCTGAGGTGGCTGCGTGGTAGGCTAAGGAGGCTTACCCCGACGATAAGGACGGCAGCAACAACAGTCGTAATACAATATAGGTTTATCAGGTTTTCCATTGATTTAGAAAGAGGAGAAAAACTCGTTGGGCCCAATAACGGTTAGCAGCGTAAACTTCACTGTGTACAATAGGGCTTATGTGTAAGTAAACAGACATATGGGCTCCACTGTTGTGCCAGACTTAATGGGACTGTTCCTCTGGAAAGTGAATAGGATTGCAGTATTGTGTGCATGCAAGAGACACAAATGTGTGTATGTGCATGAGCAAGTGTGCGCATAATACCTGGCAAAATACAGTTCTTTGTCCCGATACACCTGACCAGATCTTTCTTTAGTTTTAAGGAAAAAATATTTAAAAGTTAAGGATGTAGACCCGTGCATGCATGGGGATACATGGAAATCACAGAGATTTTTTTTTTTTTTTTGCCAAGGAAGATGTCCTAGTGCCGAGTTCCCATTAGTAAGGGCAAATACATTTTTTTTCAATGGAAATAAATGGGATTGCAGCATAGCTTGAACATATTTTGTATTAAGCTCCACCAAACAGAGGCCTGCTTTCTGCAGAGTACTATCAACACTCATGGCAGGATAAATACACCAAGGCTTATTTTTTTTTTTAGTCCAAGGGTTTAGTTCAGCATTATAATCTGAATATAAACATGTGCAGTCTTGAGCCACAAATGTACAAAAAGCATGGCCACGTACTAACCAGCTGGTCCAATAAAAGTACTTGCATGTGTTGGGAAACACATGAATACCCCCCCCCCCAAGAGTTAATTTCCCAAATATATTGTGATTATAACTTCATTTCAAAGGAGGTAAACTGTTTTTGTTTTCCTATTGGCCCACTAACATGGCAAGTTAAATTCCATTAGTAGTAAACCTCCTAAGAAATGTACTCCTAACCTTTTGCGTCACATCCAACATATTGTATTTGTGCAGAATTGTTTGTAAGGTTAATAGCCATTATCCACTAAGGTGTTAGCCTTCAGGACTATAGGACTAGATTAGGTTCAGAATAAACAACATTCTATTCTTGGGGATTGGGGGTGTAAAAATCACCAAGAACCCCATTGTAGAATTTACTTCTGGACTGAAAAAGCCTCAGTCCATAGAAGGAGAAAGTCAAAGTAACCCCTTTTTAAAAAAAAATGCTAGATGGTTACTATGATTCTAGAACTCACTCAACACATTTAATTGCCCACTAAAATCAATAAAAATATTTCCATTGATGCAGTCATTGCAGGTATTTTTCATGCCAAGTTTTCATTCTAGAATTTCATTCCTAAATAACAAAAAGGAATCTGTTAGGAAGGAGACTTCCCTCTTAAACCTGCGGTTGCTAAAGATTGGCTTATTCTATAAGTCCTTGCCTTCAAACTGAAATAAACTTTGGTGTGCTTGAAGAAAGTTAGAAAGGACGGAAATCCCTCATTCTTCAGAGTTTTTTTTTAATTAAAGCAAATATTTTAGTTTGTGACATTTTTAGTAGAATTGGTCTGATATTCAATAAGTTTAATAAATATTTAATATACATCTAATAAGGTGACTCTTTGGAATAAGGTGACAGAATTCACAGTTCTGTCATTGTTCTCCTAATATATTGCCTTGCCTGGAGAGGGGAAAAAACTGCCAACAATTCCTTTTGTTTACCCTTGTCTTCCTCTTTGAACCCTAGGTTCATTTTTAACTGGCCTAGAAGTAAATATTCTTTCAATAATGAAATAAAGTAAAAGAAAATAACCAAAATCCACTCATTGATAATATTTGATTTATTTAAAGTCCTTAACTGGAAATGATAAAAAAAAAAAAAAGTTAAAAGGAGGGGGGAGGGAAACATGCTCCATGGCTTATATTTTCATAAAAAAAAACACCAAAAGAATCAAAACATTTTTTTTTCAATTACAATCACATTTATTATAAAATTAAGATTTTTTTTTATTTTCTTTAAAATGGTGTGTCATTTTAAAACCGTTTATTTTAAAGCACTTTCAAGCTGTCAAGAAGAAAGTATAAACCGTGCAAATAAATTAAGAATATTGTAAAGGCAAACGGGGGAAGGGTGGGGGGAGAAGGAAGGGAACCGAAAAGAGGAAGGGGAGTAACCCGCCTGGCTATGCTGAAACATCCTGTAAAAACTGAAGAAAGTGCATTAACACTGGATGAACGTGCTAACAAAGGTAAGGTAGAATTAAGCCACCTCAAAACCTCAAATTCAGGAAGGTGGCGACTGGTCTGATGAAAGCAGCCTCGGGAGCATCTCCCACTTCAGAATAGTCTTCGACGCGCGGGGCTCGAACAACGATAATAGTCCTAGAGTTCTGGAACCCACGGAGGGGGGGGGATGGGATTGGGGGTGGGGGGGGAGAACTCTGAGATTAAATAAACCAAGTCATCCATGTAGCCAAGAGATTTCCTGATGCTGAAGAAGGAGACTCCTTAGTAACAGCTTGTGAGAAGGGGGGAGTGGGGGGGCAGTTGAAATAACTGTAACATGCCTTAAAAGGCTGCGTGACCTGTACAGTTCTGTATCCGATCCGGATCCCATTGGAAATGCAGGAGAGAGATCCTTTCCCTCTTCCCACTTGCCATCTGTGCTCTGTCCCTTTATACAAGGGGGATCTGTCACCCGTGGCTGGGTCCCTGGGGTCAATGGGCCTGCGGGGGAGGGGAGGGGAGGGGGCGAGTTCAGCAGGGCGTGAAACAAATGCCCTTTCCCCTAAGTCTCAAAACGGAGGCAAGTTCTGCCTCTCTCTGCGCCGCATCCTTCAAAGGGGTCGGGCTCCTAATCTAACGTCAACCCTCCGCCCCCGTCTGTTTACTTGTTTACCGGGGAGAGTCACACGCAGGCCAGTAAGTCCGGCCTCAACTTCGACCTACTGAATCCATCTCGAGGCTGGGGGGGGGGAGGAAACCCCCTCCCCACCCTCAACGCGAGAGGCTTTCCAGGAGCCAACCCAGGCGCGGTGGGTGGAAAGCGGCGCGCGGGCTGCCTTGGGTCGAGCTTCGCCTTTTTTCTTTTGAAAATCACCCCCCCCACCCAATTTTGGCGAGATTGCTTCGAAGAGGAAAAGGCGGGGAAAGGCAACCAACGATGAGTTTCAAAATGGAAGCCTCGCTTGCTTCTTTCTGTGGCCAAGGGTGGTGGTGTCTATACAGGGCTTGTCTAAGGAGGGCTGGACCGGTCAAGCCGAAGCCGGAGACATGGGACGCCCTGGCGGCCGAGCAATTATCCGAGCCGCCCCGAGAATAAAGGGACAGTAGTCCTTTCGCTTTATGTCGTGTGGTTCGTTTGCCTTTCCGTTTTCCCTCGCACGGATCGCGGGCTGGCTGGGGGGCGGGCGGAGGGAAGCGGGTGGTCAGTTTGAGCAGAGGTTTGGGGAGAGAGACCCAGACAAGGGAGGGAGGGAGGGAGGATTCCGCTCGCTTGACCCTCCAGACCCCCCCCCGGCCGGCTAAGAGGTGTTCAGCACCGGTCTGGAATACACACCTTGGTAGTAGGAGGGCTCCAGGGCCGAGGGCTCAATGGCTCCCCTCCCGCCCATGGAAGCGCTGCTGAGGGGCAACCCGCCAGGCAGGCCGCCCCCGTAGGAGGAATATTGCAGCGCTTGCTCGTAGGCTTTGAAGTCCAGCTTGTGCTGCTGTTCAGAGGAGGACATGAGGTTGTTGATGGAGAAGGGGTGGTTGAAAGAATAGTGGGGGTCGCCCTTGAGGTGCAGCTGCGGCTCGTGGGGTCCCAGCGCGTGGCCCGGGTGACTCAAGGAGGCCAAGGGGACCGAGGCTGCCACTGCAGCCGCCGCGACCACGGAGGGCTTCAGCTCGGCTCCGTTCCCGTTCTGGTCCAGGGCTTGCGGGCTGTCGGCGCCGTGGCTGGACGGGGCGGCCTCCAGCTGCCCTCCTTTGGCTTGGCCTCGGTGCAAGGGAGAGCTGGCCCCGCCGGGGTCTTTCCTTCCCTCGCCTCCGCCCGATCCGCCCTTGGGCCCGGGTTGCTTGTCGCACTTGAAGCGCTTCTGGCGCCGGAGGTAGCAGCCGTTCTCGAACATGTTGCCCGAGTCCGGGTGCAGCGTCCAGTAAGAGCCTTTGCCCGGCTTGTCCGGCGAGCGGGCGACCTTGACGAAGCAGTCGTTGAAGGAGAGCGAGTGCCGGATCGAATTCTGCCAGCGCTGCTGGTTCTGGCGGTAGTAAGGGAAGAGGTCCATGATCCACTGGTAGATCTCGCTCAGCGTCAGCATCTTGCTGGGCGCCTGCTGGATGGCCATGGTGATGAGCGAGATGTAGGAGTAGGGCGGCTTGGCGTGCGGGTAGCTGCGCTTGAAGCTCTTGGCGTCGCGGCCGCGGCTCAGGTTGGAGGAGGCGTACCCCATGGGGCTCATGCAGGGTCCCATGGCCCCGTAGGCGCCCAGTCCGTTCAGCGAAGCCTGCGGGCCGCCCATGGCGTTCATGCCGCCGGGACTCAGCGCCGACCCCATGGCTGACATACCGTTCATGCTGGCTCCGGTTCCACCGGGGCTCAAGCCGGGCCCCAGGCTCGGGTTGGCATAGGACATGTTGAAGGAGCCCGAGGTCATGTTGCCGCTGGTGGTCATGGCGTTCATGCTCATGTAGCTGTTCATGGAATTCATGGAGCCCAGGCCGGAATTCATGTTGCTCACTGGCACCGTCGAATAGCCCTGCGGAGGGAGCGCACACAGGTTAAAACCGGCTCTTCCGACCCTTCCGCCCTGCCGCGCCATACGGCCCCGCGTTCCCACCAGGGGACGTTCCCCTACTTGGCCCCAGAATTTCCCCTTGCAGAATGCATTTCCCCTGCAGCCGGCCTTCCCGGCTCATCCTTGCATTGCAAGGAGAAGAGGGGAGCGGATGCAGTCTTCTGAAGCCCCAGATTCCGCAGAAAGGGAATCCTTGAGTCCAGCTTTGGCCCCAAGCTTTCCAAATGGAGACTAGTCCCCGCACGATGTCAGTTGCTAAAGAAATCGGGAGTAGTGGCAGAAAACATACACGCGTGTTATTCACCATACCAAACGGCTTGCATCCGAAATATACATGCCAATATAATAATAATAATAATGACAATGATATAAACAGTTCGGCTGCATTGGCTGCGTTGATTTGGGAGCAAATATATAAACATATATTTATGCAGCACCGGTGGGTGGCTTCACAGGCATCCACAAGCCCCGGTTGCCTTTTTCAGAAAGGAAGGGAAGTTTTGTCCAGGGCCAAATTTGGAGAGCTGGGGTCTTGTTTGCCCCTTGCACAAATCGCGGGGCTGTGATTTTAAAGAGGGGTTCTGATTAAGCGCAGGGTTAAAGATCTGGAGAAGATCAGATCAAAACCTCAGGGCGGGAGCAGACTGGAAACGAGAAAGCTGCAAGGCCCAAATCTTCACCTGCCTTTTTGGCCAAAACAGCAACTCTCCCAGAATCTAGTTTCCAAATGGTGGGGGGGGGGGCAACCTCCAAACCTGTTTCCCACCTATGTTTGACTTCATGGAAGGCCCACCCAGTTTGTAGTGGTTGTTCTTTTTACAAAATCTAAGGCAGTGAATGCAAACCAAGGCTTCCCCTGAGCAGCTCAGAACTGCGTTGGAAGAAGAGCGAGGCAGATCCACTTCACACCGAGGCGGCCCACTCTGCCAGCCCCTACTCACTCCACAGACCCTGGGAAAGGGAAACGGTGGAGGGCAAGCGCCCTATAAACCACAAAAGCCCGATCTTCCCAGCTCCTCGCCGTCCCCGAGAGCGCCCAAGAGAAGCCGAGGCCTTCATACCCGCGACGGGCCCCCGAAACCAAGAAAGCGAGGTCTCCGCTTTTTCTCAGCCCCGCGTCCCCTCTTCCCCCCTTCGCTTTGCTGGCTCTACCTTCTGCTTCGGCGGGGGGCGTGTGGGAAACAACCTGGGCGACAGTGTTGGGAGCCGCTTTTCTCCCAGGGCCTTGGCTGGTTCCTGCTAAACCGGGAAACTTTCCCTGGGAGGAAGAATGGTAAATTCGGGGCAGAGGACCGGGGATGTCCAAAATCAAACAAATGATCCTGAAATGTTCCTCTCTTTGCCTTGCAGCCTAGAAGTTTTGACTAAGTGATAAAAGGCAGTCGAAATGCCACCGCTTTTCGCGGTTTAAATCAAAGATCCTGCCTAAGGCGCTTTAACCAGGCTAAGGAATAATCCTTGCAAAGGCTGAAGCTTTTCCCTAAAAAAATCGAATGCCTAAACCATTGATTTACTTTATCGACTCATTGAAAACTATACGGGAAAGATTACGCCTTATAAACTCCTCTATATTGCCTATATTTGAACTATATTCTGTGGACGATATTGCCCCCACACTGTTATGATTATAGTTTTGTATTAGCGGAAATATGTCAAGGAATGGTGATGTTTGAATGATAGGCTATGCCCATAATAGTGCTTGCCAGTGTGGGGAGGGGAAGGTGCCTGCTATTTTCAAATTCTAGGAACCCAATCCAGCCTAGAAAATCAGTACTGTCTACTGCCTACAATTGCGGGGGGGGGGGGGGAGAATCTCTTCATATAAGCATATGCATAGTTTCTTCCGCGCGTTTTGAACTAAATACGGAAGTAATAGGAATGTGCCAAATTCCTTTCAGTCTCAAAAATACTTCCGTATAAAGTAGAATTTAAGTTTACGGAGAGCTGGCAAATTCTCGTTCGCCGATCCAAGACCCCACATTCGCCTAGGACGGTCGCTTTATTTTCTCTCCCACCCCACCGGCCTGGCGGGAAGACGCAACCAACGATTCTCAATCTCTTTCTGAGCCCCCTTTGACCTCTGGCATTAAATTAGAAGCTCCTCTACAAAAGGGGCGATGCCAAATGCGGCCAGCCCCCCCCCTCCTTTTTTTTAACCACTGGCCATGTTTGCCGCGCAGCAAACCCGGATCACAATTCCGGTAAAGGCGCGCAAAGCAATCCCGTTCCTCCACGCGCTTCGGGTCTCATCTCGTCGCTTTCTTTTTCACTTTTATATGGCTACGTTTCCTGGGTTGCCGCTTTTTAATTTTACGTCCAAGCCTTTATTCACGAAAAGGCTCCATTTATTCCCCCCCCCCCC